TAGATATTTAATATTAGATGCTGCATCCTTTATCATCTTTTTTACATCTCTTTTGTTCAATGTCATATGCGATTTAAAGATAAATAGCAAAAGAATTCTAAATCTTATTTTTTGTTTACAAAAATTATCGAAGAATAAAACTCATCATATACACAAATAGATTCATCAAATTACATTTCATTGATGTATATAAATATATATATTAAAAATATTTTATATATATTTAAATACGCGTTTAATAAATGAAATTAAAATTCGTTTTTTAATTTATACATATTATATCTCTTATTTTATATCTCTTAATAAAAAATATATTATATATATATTTATTTATTTATTTATTTTTATTTTAAGAGAGATAATAAAGATAATTAAACTGAAATCACCATTTGAACACATGAATTTTATACAGTAACTATATTAATATAACAAAGGAAATGAAAGAAAAAGTTAAAAATTAAGAAATCAATGCCATCTCTAAAGTGTCATAAANAATAATAAATATAGATATTATATTTTTGATTTTACAAAATATCTTTAGAACAACAAATCTTGCAAAACAGGTCATAGCAATGAGATTTAAATTATTTCAAAAAGTAGATAAAAATTTCGCGTTCAGTTTTTTTTTAATTATATTTTTCTGATTTTAAATTGTAAATTCAGAATAAAAATTTGTATTGTTAGAAATTTCGATTTTATATTAGGAGAATATAAATTGAGATAAAATATATTTATTATCTTTATCAGCCGTTTTGTTTAAGCAAAATTTGAAATATTACAAAAATATTAACGTAATTTAAATATCATGTCTCAATATATCATCACTCAAAATTAAGATATTTTGGATTTTAACTATACAAAATGCAAATCATCATTGATTCAGAATTTGTTTATAATATATAATATACATAATAATAACAATAATTATTATATCTTATTTTTTAAAAATACGTTTAGAATGTGTAATGATTACATACCTTGATTAACTATTTTATCAATATTTACAAGCAGATTAATTTTTTAATTTTTAAATTTGATAAATGTAATATTCAACCATAATTTGATATTTGTATTCACAAATATTTATAAGTAATATTATGCTATTGTTAACAAAGATCGTAAAGTTCGATTTTTTAACCAATATACACCTGCTAATAAAATGGTACAACAAAATCCAACTAAAAATCGTAATTTCCAATGATATTTGGAAGCTTTTAAAACATTAATGATTCTAATAGATTGTTGTCTAGTATCATATTCACTACCAGAATTTTCAATAACAAAATTTGCCATTTCTGCTTTCTTTTCTAATGACATTTGTGCAGCAATTCTTAATTTTGCTTTAGCTTCTGTGAATCCTGTTCTTTCCATAAGTCGTTGTAATTGTAAATCTTCTTCACTAAAATTAAACATATATATAGTTTTTTTATATTAATAATTTTTTTTATATAATAATTTTTATTTATTAGTTATATTTATATCTTTGTATAAATGAAGGCCATTTTCTTTACCAAGTTACAACAATTATTTTATGTAAATAATTTAACATATGTCCTGTTTCAAAAAGTAATGGCAATTCCATAAGTATAAATTGATGACCTTGTAAAAAATATTTAAATGCTTGCCAATATATTTTCTTATATATATATGGATGTGTTATAGCATTTAATTTTTTTCTTTTTTCTATATCGTTAAATATTAAATCTCCAAGTTTTGCTCTATCAAGTTCATCTGTATCTAAAAATATTTCCAAACCAAATTCTTTACGTATTTTATGCCAAGCTGGTTTTCCAGGTTCTACAACTAAATATAAAATATATAAATTTTTAAATAAATAATAAATGTATTAAAATAATCTTATAATAAAATATATTATAAATATTTTTAAATAATAAAAGTTTTGTTTTACTTCTAACCTTTTCGTGCAATTTGATCAGCATCAATGACAGGTATACCGAATTCTTGAAAAACAGCAGCAACACTACTTTTTCCAGTAGCTATTCCACCTGTCAAACCTACTAAAAACATTTTTCCTTAATATTTATTTTTATACTTTGATATTTATTTTTTAATAGTTAAATGAACATCGTTATTAGCATTGCATTGCAAAATTTGATCTTATTTAATATAAATTATATTACAACAGTTTTCACTAAAATTGAAAGTTTTTTCTTTTGTATAATTTTAGTATAACACATATATAAAATATATATATTTTATTAAAAGGCACATGAACCAATTAAAGATGCATAAAACGAATAGAACATAAAGATATATATAATTGATTATATGTTTAATTAGAATATATTGTTTCAATTTAAATTGAAACAATTAATTTGTAAAAATAATTTTTCAAAATTATCAATTTGATCATTTGTATGAATTGTTATACTTTTAAATAACTTTTTTTTTTAAATAAATTATTGAAAATTTTAAGTCTATATTAAAATTCGTAATTCATAGAAACTTGAAACTAGTAACATTATCTACCAAACAGAATACTGAAATAAAAGTCCAGAATCCGAACATTGTTGCCGGATTTATTTTCATTATGTTTTTTTAGTATCTAAGATAGTGTGTTATTGTGTAAAATATGTCAATATTTCGACTCTAGATTTGTGAATCGTCCCTAATTTCTTTACATTTTAATCATAGTTTTATTTACATCGATTTGTTAAACAATATAAAGAGCTATAATCAAGCTATAACATTACTACGCCATTTTTAATTTTGAAAGAATATTTTGTATTATAATAAAAAAATCTGAATTAGATGATTGGATTTCATTGTATTGTTTTATTTAATTTAATTTTAAAAAATTAAATTTTAAAAATATGTAATATTACATTATAAATAATATAATATTTTAATATATTTTCTATACTATTGACATATAAAATTTTTATTTTTATTTAACGAATTAAAGAAGAAAGATTTATATTGAGAAGTTATAAGATTATAAAGAAAAGATTAAAATGAATTGTCGGTTTAATAAACCTATTCGTACTTATGAAAGAAAAAAATTCAGAGAAGTAGTAATTTCAACACCAAAAATAAATAATTTAGATGATGCTAATAATAAAAATAATGCTTTGCTGAATAAAAATTTAAACGAAGAAAGTAATGATTCTATGTATGATGATCCTTTTGAAACTACATTTGATAGACTTCTTAAAAATACGAGGTAAAAAATTTTATAATTATTTTATTAAAATATTTAATAGAATATATTAATAAAATATCTTTATATAGAAAACTTCCACCATCAGCACCTAAAACATATAATGATACAATATTAGTAACTAGCACAGATAGTAAATCTGAAATAAGTAATCATAAGTCTTCATTACTTGAGATGTGCAATTTTGATACAAAATTAATTTCTAATCAGAAGGTAATACATAGAAAGCCAAAAATGCGAATTGTAAAGAAAACAATAACAAAAAAAAAAACATCTATATCACAAAATACTAGAAAATTTAAAGT